CCAGGACAGGAAGATGATAAACACGCACTAATCTCCTCTAGCATAAATACTGAAGAAGTTGCTTCCTGCTCACGTGACTCCTTCTCAAATCAACAGGGACTGTGAGAAACCGTGTGACTCAGGTTTTATTCCTGTGATTTGTATTGTTAGAGCATAATGATGTTTATTGTGTACATACAAGTGGGAGATTGTTCACATTGAAACACTTATTAGGCAGTTAAAAGGAATTGGACCCTTTTGTGAGGATTATGGGTGCAGTTTTTCATTTATGAATTTAGCTAAACAGTTTTTCATACCTCAGGCAGACTGGTCCGATATCTGTTTGCTATAAGCAGAATTTCCCATGCCGCACACATGTGCAACAGTTTCCATGATAAGCCCAAAAGATGCCCATATCCACAAACACAAAAAAAATGAAATGCAGATTATTCTTGTGGGATACTGAAAGTCTTGAGTGTTATTTTAGAGATCTAAATTGCAAAAATGAAGTCAGTGTTTTCTTTGACATTCTTTTATTTAATCACAAGGCTGCTAAGCTGCAAGGGGACAGATGAGCTGTAAACACTCATTTTGTAGAAGTGAAATGAGAAAAAAGAAGGTCACATGCATCTTGATGTGAATGGCAATGCACTCAGCATCGTGCTGCAATTAAAATTTAATGAGACCTCTCCATTCTGCTCAACCAGAGCAGTCAAATGTTACTGTGCAGACTCTCTGCTCTTCAGCCTCTCCCTTCCCGTCACTTACTAGCGTTTTTCCACTGGCAGGCAATTTTACAACAAACCACATGAAAAACAATATTCAGGCTTCTTAAAAAAGAATTCCTGCTCAGACTAATCTTGATCTTTGGACATGGTGCTTGAGTTTCATCTGCTGAAGCATGATATTTCTTTAAATGATCAATGTGAGGTCTAGTTCACATAAAAAGGTAAGATTTTAAATCTCCTTCTCTTTGGTTTACGGTAGCAGAGACATATGAGACAGGAGTATTAATCAGGGAAAGAACATCCTTTCTGGTATTGAAACAGCACCTGATACATTCGTCTGTGCATCTTTAGTCCTGAATACACGTAAATACCTATCGTCACTACATCCATCTCTCTGTATCTCTCGCTCTCACACACACATTCACAGAAAACATCCCTGCTTGTGCCTAATCGTATTTCAACCCGGTGGATAATGTATAATTACATATTCGCTGAGTGCTAATCTGCAACAGTGTCCTCATGTTTATTATGAGGTGGAGGAGCATTTGACACAGATCTTGTAATCTGTACACGCTGGAATGAGGCAAAGGGGCTCAATTGCAGCAGCTGAGGCGTATTTTCCTTGAGCAAGTAGTTTCTGCAGACTCTGTAGTGACTATAGTGTTTTTAGCCATGTTAGCTCTATGAATGTCAGCCCACCTCTTTGGTCTAGACTGAAATATCTCAACAGTTGTACAGAAAGACAGCTGAAGGCTATTGATTTTTGTGATCCACTGACCTTTCCTTTAGTGCCACTACAAGGTTGACATTTTTATTTTTTAGTGAAATGTCTCGACAATTATTGCATGGATTGCCATTAAGTTTGGTACAGGTATCCACTGTGCTGACTTTTTATTCAGCTTGGCTTTTCTCAACGTTTTCACTAATCCAGTGAAATCTACTAAATGGATTGGCATACAATTTGGTAAAGATTGTCATGGTTCGCAGACGGTGCACCTAGACTTTGGGAATTATCTGGGGATCTTCCTCTATCAACACCAGCATGTCAACATTTTTGATTTTGAGTCTCAACAACCAAACTAAGATGGTGAACATGGTAAACATTATACCTGCTAAACATCAGCACGTTAGCAGAAATAGCACAGGCAGTTAGCTTGTTAATCGTCTCATTTAACAAAATATGATGATCTACAAAATAAATCTTATCTTTCGCTAGCATGGCTGTAGCAACTGTTTTGTTTACAGTTCAGTCTTTATCCTCAACTGTAATGGCCTTCACAGACCCTTATTTCTTTCTGGATTTTTTTGTCAAAGTCTTGCCACATCTGCAGCCAAACATGATTGACATTCATGAAGGCAACCACTTATTCCTCTCAGAAAGAAGCATAGTGTCTCAGTCATGTCATCTCAGTCTCCTAAGAAAATAATTGTTGAACTACTCCTAAAAATCACTGTAGTAAAAAAGAGAAGCTTTGGAGATAAAAGAAAGTATAATTTATCTGGAATGAAGAACTTTTGTAATTTGCATGACTTAAAGTCCAGACCTAATTTGCATAATTCACATTATCCCATAAATAGTGGTTCCAGCTTCTGCTCTCTTTTTTCACATCACAGTTCCTATTTTCCTCTTGTAGAAAATGGTCTGCTCACTTAATTTTAATGAGGAAGGACATAGTTGTATTGTTTATGAGTTAAAAATGAAAATAGGGAAACAACTAGCCTGGCTTTGTTCACACGCCAAAACAAAACATAGGCTACCAGCACATTGAAAGCTAAGTCATTACTGTAACTCCCAGTAAAACCTCAACCTTCAGTTTTTGTAAGGATTAAACAAACAAGATATAACATGTCAATAAGTGAGCTTTAGAGGTGCTGGTAGGCAGATTTTGTTACCTTTGGATAGAGTTAGGCTAGCTGTTTCCCCCTGCTTCCAATCTCTATGCTAAGCTAAACTGTCCAGCTGCTGGGTGTAGCCTTAGAAAAAGCCTCGAGAGTGGAATTGAGCTTCTCATCTAACTCTTGGCAAGAAAGCAAATACATGTATTTCCTAAAATGTTAAACTATTAATTTAATATAGATATTAAAAGAGTGCTCCTTTGATTTTGCCTTGCACTCCTGTAACATTGTTGGTCTCATGATGGACAAGAACAAAATTAATGCAGCAGAACCAGAGATGTCGTTTTTACTTATCTTACCTTATCAAAAACTGCCGCCTACGTTACACTCTATGCACCTTGACCCCCGACAGTTCTGTCTGAGATTCTGGTGTGTTATGCTAACTGCTAACAAGCCGCTAGCCTTAAGCAGAGATGAGGAGTGGACCACAGAGGTCTGGTACTTCTTTTCTAATTCCACGCCCCCAGATTTATCAGATTTCACACAGCTCCCTCTGAAGCCACAAAAATCTTTGTACAACTTTTTTTATATATGAAGTTGTGCTCCCCAAGACCTGAACCATGTGCTATAATATCGGTGGAGATCCCCTGTAAACTGGGAGTGAACCAAAAGCTCATCCATGAAAAGCTACCCTTCACACACTGCTGCAAACTTCTGTTATATGCATATACATGACTGATTTAACTATGTGTGTCTTTGGTTCTGTATACAATGAAAATTATAAAATGCATGTGTGTATTGACAGGGCTGTGATGGAGGGTGGGGCATGGTGACAATGAGCCATGAGCTATAGTTACTGTATCCCACTACAAATCAACTGCACCACCTACCTCGATTACGAAAGTATGTATTACCTTGAGATTATTGGTGGCACTGTAGCTGTTTTAATGTGCAGAACATCTACTGTTCTGCTATCAGATAATTATATATTTTAATTAGTGCTGAAGTAAGTTGACACCTGTTGAGCATAGTGGACGCCCTCTATACATAATAGGTGACTTGAAAGCAAGTTGTCTTCTCTGACTCTAGCTCTTTAAAAAAATCACCACAAGTTTCCTTTTGGTGAAACTGTAGATGATGCAACATCTGCATCCACTGAACAGGGCACAGACTCAAATTTGTCAGTGGACGCTTTAGCTCAGTGATAGATTGCAACTGAAAAAGCTGAGCTTTCATTCGGCTGTCAGGAGAAGCTGCCTGCTTCAGCAGTTCTTTAACCTCTTTAAAATTGAGCAGCTTTATGGTAATTGCCACAGAAGTATTAAGGTAATAAATAACAAATGCTGTTTTTGACGTGTTTTAACAAAAGCAAGAAATCACATTCAAATTAGTTGGGATGACAGCTTTGTCACATTAGCGTTGTTGAGTTTTGCCTTGACATAAATTGCTGTATTGATGATAATGTTGAGACACATGCTTATGGTAAAGTATTACATTTGTGAGCTGCTTTCTATTTACATTTTTATTTTATGCCAGTTGGCCAATATGAATGTTTCACATTTTCACTGTATCAATGTATCACTTTTGATTTCAGATTTAAAAATATAATTAAAAATCTCTGAATCTGTAGAATGGTTAGCTGCACTGGAGATGCTGCGGAATACAATCAACTTCACAGCTGGTGGGTTTGTTTGCATTAATTTAAAGTATGGGTAGATGTAGAAGAAGTAGATTTGCATCTAAAGATTAAAAAACTCAGATTTCTCCTTGGATACGTTTAATGAGCTTGTTGTCCTCACTCATCTGCCATCTTTCTTTCAATTTGTTCTCTGGTTATACAGAACTTTCTCGGGGAAGGAGGAAGGCTTAGAAAATATTTATAAAATCAACAAACCACTGTTCTCTCTTGGTGTCTCTCTGTGCTGCTCTACTTAAAGTTAATTTAAAAAACATTGGAAGCCATGGCACATGAATCTTTTATGACCTTAAGGGAGCTGATAAAGTGAAAGACAAAAGAAGCTCTGCTCATAGTGCACTCAGGATGCTCAGATCAATCAAATGTCGGTCAGACAGACTCTCTCTGTGTGGAATCTAAATCTGAGCGTCTGTGACTCAGTCAGTGCCTTTGAGGAGAGTGCAGTGTCAACTGCAGTTGTTACATGCAAAGGGCCAGTAATGAAATACTATTATAAGTTGTTTTGCTGAACTGCAGGTATGTTTAACACTCACTTTCCTACATGGAGTGTTCCTCTTTTACTGATATGTCAACATAAATTACATTTAAGAATATCGTCGTATAGTCAGATATAAATGTGACTTTGGAATAAACCTGTGAATATGTCTGAAATGCAGCTCTCTATAAAGATCTGCGGCATTTTGCATGGACATCGATGGTTTAATCAGTTAAAATCTATTTTTTGTATGATTAATTTATTTCATTTTATTTAACAGATTACGCAGAGTCATGTCAATTTTATTTATATAGCCCAATATCACATCACAATCAAGATGCTTTACAAGCTGTACAGCATACAACATCCTCTGTCCTTAGACCCTCAACTCAAATGACTCCCCCTAAAGAACCCTTTTAACAGGAAGAGTAACAGAGGAGAAATCCTTCTCCCAGGAGGGACAGACATGGAACAAATGTTGTGTGTACAGAATAGATTCACAACAGAAAGTCATAGTATATACAATTATGATGACAAAATGTAGATTGTGAAGTGAAGAGGATTGATCCAGGAGGACAATTAACTTCAGACACCCACTAAGTAGGATATGAGCCACACCACCTTCTCTCCATCATAGAGTCCTGGAAAGGGGGACAGGCCACACAAACACAGAAGATGAGAACAGCATTCACACTGAGAGGAGAAACAAACAAACAGAGGGAGAGAGAGGAATGATAACATGTAAACTAGGGAGAGAATGGAAGAGGCAGAATCTCCTGGGGGACGAAGATCCAGATCAATGATTGGATGAAGAAAGAGAGAGTATTCATGATGCTCAGTACAAATAGTTCTTGATGTACAAGGAAAGTTTGTTTATGTAAGGATAAACCAAAATTACAAACATATTGTCTCTTGAAAAACAACTATACCATAGACCCTTATGTGAAGCAGAATTAGACAAAAAGTCAAAGATGTATGCACTCACAGATACTTCTGCATCAGCAATAGAAATGTGGGTTTACTGGTCTCCCTTATTATATGATTTAAGGACTACACGTCTTAGTAAAATGTCCTTTAATGAGTTCTTCTGGGTAAACTGTGTCTTAGACTGTATCTGTGTGGTGGTGCAGTGAGTAGCACTGTTGTTCTTCCCAGCAAGAAGGTTGAGGGTTCAAACCCCGGTTGCCCCGGCCTTTCTTTGTGGAGTTCGCATGTTCTCTCCGGGTGTCTCTAAAATTGTCCTTAGGTGTGAATGGTTGTTTGTCTATGTGATGGACTGGTGACCTGTCCAGGGTGTACCCTGCCTTTTGCCCGATGTCAGCTGGGCTCCAGCCCCCCACAACCGTGTACGCAGGATAAGCGGCTGAATGTGCATAATAAATAATATAACTAACTATGGTCACACATACTATAGATCACACTCACTTTTCCAACAGTAACTAACTCCCTCAGTCCCACTTTTTTACTTGATGAATCCATTTCAATGCACCACAGAAATAATATAAACAGGACAGCTTGCAGAGAATTAATTTTCTAAAGCCAAATGCATCCAGGCCTGTATCAGTTATGTCCCAGGGTGCCTTGTGTGTAAATTAGCATTTGATTATTTCCCTTTGCTCTCCTTTGTCTTCCATTAGCAACACAACTTTATCGTTCTCAAGGACTAAGAATGTAAATTAGCAATCTAACTAACAAAGTATTATAAATCTGAAGAGTCTCTATGGGTTTTTGTGTATTTTATGCGGCAGTGAAACCACTCTTCATTAGTGTAAATGATATTACACTCAGCAAAACTTAGTCTGGTGCAAGATATGATGTTGCAAACACATCCTCAATATTAAGCACACAAATCGCTAAGTGACATTCCAAGGCTTTGGAAAAGAAATGGCTAGATGTTGTCACAGTGATATAGGTGTATAAGAGATGTTTATTTTGAATCTCTCCATCAACAGTGAGACCTCGTCCCTCTCCCTCTACCTCTGTCCACATAGCACTGTCAGTCAATTCATTTCTCTTTCTTGTGCCTGAGGTTGATGTGAGACACAGAGAGCAACACATTAATGCGCCACACCTGCTCTCCTTTTCCAAAAGTTAAAATGAGAAACGGACATAGAATACCAATAGCCTTCGATCAAATGAATAGTAGGGATTTTGAGCGCCTTATCTCCCTCAGTCAGTCAGTTTGGAGCTGGCGCCTGCTACAAAAGACCCAGAGAGGTCTCTGGCCTCAGAGATCCTCCCAGCTATCCCTCTGGGTGCAGGGGAAACAGGTACACGTGCACAAACAGTATTTTACTTTATTTTGATAGCTATTTTAAAATATTTTTTCTACTTTCAACCCACTGTATTTTGCCAATGCTCTTAAGACAGAGCATTAAAGCAGCTAATCCCTATTTTCTGCTGCTACTATTGCTCTGGAATTAGTTTCCGACAGATGTTAAAAGTAGGACCATTTATTTTTAATAGCTTCAGTGCCTCTATATTTTGAACTTGGAGGTAAATGTAGACTTTATGTAAGGTGGGTTATACCGAACAACAGGCATTGGGCCAAAACACAGACAGAACAGGCAGACTGGTTCAGTTCAGTGATTTTTAGGTGATTAGCTTACAGGCCGGCAGGTAGAGAGGAACATAGGCAGACAACAAACACAGGCAGGCCAGGTAGCAAAAGCAAAAACCAGGGACATGGCAACTTTAATGAACTGGCAATGAACAAGTGCCACAAGTGAGTTAAGCTAGGCATACACTGTACGATTTTAATTCCAACTCACACTGTACAAGTAAATCATCTGTGATGTAAAGCCAAAGCTCTGGGTTTACTTGCTCACTCTGTAGGCTACGGTCCGATGGTCAGCCACAACCAGACATAGAGCTCACGCTGTATGTGCATAAAATGGCACGTCGGCCCATTCTGGCTATTGACAATTGTCAATAAAGATTCATTTGAAAGCTACGAGGCAGGTAGATGTTTATTTGCTAAGCAATGATGCTAACCATGCAGAAATGTGCTGCCTTGATCATGTGTGCCATCCTGTGTGCCATAACTTCTAAAAAACAGAGGCATAGTTGTACATTGACTAGGTGGCTAGGAAGACGTGGAGAGACCTAGTTCTCTGATCAGCCCTCACTCCCCCTGTTCACTACAGCGCCCAAAGTTGATATTCGGCCCAACTGTAAAATTATTAAAACAGGCTCAAGTTGTACAGTGTATGCCCAGCTTTAGTGCACAGGTGAGTGGCTGATGAGGGAATGAGTTGCAGGTGAGGAGTGGGCAGAGGTGGCCACTTAAATGCAGAGTAGATGAGGGAAGTGACAACAGTGTTCAGTCCTGACAAAACTTACCAAAATGTTTATTTAAACAAAAACATTGGTGTCTTGAACACCCTGTTGTGTATGCAAGTGTACTGCCTTTATAATAGCGGGGCTAACACTTTTGTTTTTGCCCCCATTCATCATGAGCTGAACTCAAAGATCTAAGACTGTCTCTATGTACACAACAGGCCCATTTCTCTAAAATATTATTAACAAATCTGTCAAAATCTGTGTTAGTGAGCACTTCTCCTAAGGCACACCTGTGCAATACCCATGCTGTCTGATCAGCATCTTGATATGCCACACCTGTGAGGTGGATGGATTATCTCGGCAAAGGACAAGTGCTCACTAACACAGATTTTGACAGAATTGTGAACAATATTTGAGGGAAATAGGCCTCTTGTATACATAGAGAAAGTCTTAGATCTTTTGAGTTCAGCTCATGATGAATGTTGGCAAAAACAAAAATGTTTATAATTTTGTTTAGTGTACATTTCTTCTGATTGGGTAACACCTCTGACACACCAAATAAATCACAGAAAACTTACCTCAATGCCCTTTGCACACAGTTTCGAGTAAACATGTTGTTCGACCTGGAAACCATAGCAAAACGGTGCATCCCGTTTTCAGATTGAGTTAGAGATAAGGACAGAGAGCAATGCAGAGGGCTGGGGATGATTGAGTCTGGCTGAACAGAGGGACTGAGGAGCAATCTGCGACACTTTGAGAGTTTGAGCCACAAAACACACCCAGAAATCTCTTCAGCTGTGATGTGTTTAATCAGGCTTTGATGTAAATTTTAAAAAAGAACCTGTTAAATTTCCATGAAATTCCTCAGTTATTCCTCAGCAAGTGAGGTTTGATGGAGACGACTGCTACTGCTTGACAACCGGAAATGTGATTAAGTGCTAGAATATTACTCTGCTCAAATGGAATGACTGGATTTGCATACTGTATGCATGTTGAGTGGAGAAATGAGCTGTGAAGTTACATTTCCTTTACATTTCAATCTGTTACCAGCCCCATTACCGCAACACCTGTTATCACTTGAAATTATATTACAGAGGTTGATAACAGTAAATAGTAGGGCTGGCCCAAATGTCATTTTTTGAGATTTGACGCTTTGATAGTAATTAAGAGCGAATAATCGAAGCTTCGCAAGTCTGTCTGTGTGTGCGTGTGTGAGAGAGAAAGAAAAAGAGAGAAGAAGAGAAAGAAGAAACCTTTATTGTCACATACACATACATGTTGTGAAGGGCGCTCCCTTTATTTATTCTCATAGCTAGGCTAACTGAGTGATTATTACCAAATCTTTATTAGCAGACCCAAGTGCAGGACTAAGAAAGGGAGAAATATTTCTTGTAGGGTTAAAAGGATCATAGGCCCATATTGAGCAGGTAAAGAGCAGGCAAAGTGAAAATTGCTGCGTGCCGAACCGGGTTGGTGGCTGCTGTACAGAGCAGGGGGAACCGTAGCTGAGAGTCCAGAGTGAGAGAGTCTGATCCGAGCAGTTGTAGAGCAGAATCTGGGAATAGTTTCGCCATAATAACACCTTATTATGCAAAACTTTTTATTTTAATTATAGCAACAAAATGCTCTTCTTCAGCCTAATATAATTAGACTTATTGTGTTGTTTGTTTCCAGCCTACAGTTTGATACTGATTTTTGAGATTTGACTGTTTTGATCTGTAATGAAATTAAGCAATTGTAAAATTAATAAACACCATAACTTCCACACTACTGCTGTCATCACTCAGTTTAAAGTGCTCCCACACAGCTGAGGGCTTCATTTCCTTTTCCCTTTGATGTGAACTGGAGTATTAGTTCAGTAGTTCAGGGGCTTAAAGAGACAGAAGCATATACAACTTGTTTCAGACAGAGGCTGAAATGAAGGCCTACATGAAGGGCCAGTGTTAGATAGAAAATTATTTTTTTTGACCTCTGAATCATGCAAAGCAGTAAATGTAATTTATTATTTCAGTGTTTCCCACACATTGATTTATTTTTAAAAAGATTATCAACACTGACTGCCACATATTGATTATTGATTTATTTATTTTTTACTATTTAAAATGGGTGAAATCGTATTTAATTACAGAGCTGCACACAGCGCGTATATTCCCTCAGCATCTCCCCTCGCTCCCTTGCTTGCTCTCTCTCTCGCCACAGTTACGCTGTCATTCTGTAGGAAACACTGTGTTTACATATAATAATTGGGATTCATGTTGATAAATATGGGTGGGCAGGAGGGTGAGTGTGAGCAAGCATTCTCACACTTTCCATTATTTGGTGACTGGTACCCGAAAGGCCTATGCCTTTTTGCTATCTTGGTTATCTAATATATTCCACCGTGTTGTCCGCATTTAGATGGGATGGTCTGCATTAAAACAACACAGGGTGCAGTGTCAAAGATGCGCTTTTTGTAGTCCATCTTCGGAACATTGTAGTCTTTATATTGTATCACAGCAGGCCACGTCAGTAACATCCGCCTTTGCATAATTACGTCGCCTAAAAAAGGGCAGCCGGATTCTCTGAGCCCCGCGTTCGTCTTTTCCTAAGTCCTCATGAATTCTCCTTTTCATCTTTCCTTGACCTCATGACATTTTCCATTGAGGTCAAGGAAAAGTGGTTAGGAAAGGAGATTTTTTAGACTTTTCAACCGCAGCTTAGGATTCATCCTCTGGGGACCTTGAAAGACTGTATTGGCAATGCATCAAACACAAACAGATGTACAACTTTGACCTTAAACTATTCCCAAAAGAACACCAGCAGGCTGGTGAATCAGTACTTATTGCTTTATCACTCACAGTGAACGTGTGAAAGCATTTACAGAGTGTTTTCAAGGCTAAATGTTGCTTGTCTTGCATTATGCACGTGCTGCATAATATACGAGTTCTTTTTGCCTGAAATGATATCATCTTCCTACATTCTAACTCATGGTGTATTTCATAAGCTTTGGCATCAGCATATACTGAATACAGAATTTCTCATTTATTTGAGTCTTTGCTGAAATGCCCTCATGCAGACTCATGCAAAAGACATTAGAGCTCAGAGCAAAGCTTGAAATTGCACTTTATGTAACGCATTTGAGCCTTTCAACAGTGTTTCCTCATTCTTGACAAAAAAATCCGGCAGTACACTCTGACCTAATCATTCACAATAACGTAAGACAGAGGCATTTATTTCCTGTATTCTTTTTCAGGGTTGCAGGGAAGCGTAGGATACATTGAATAGAAATCTGTCACAAAGCTGATTCCACATTGAAAATCATAACCACGAATAAATTATACCTCAGGCTACTCTTTGAAATCACAATAAGAATCAACATTATTGGCCATGTATATTTTACTTCAGTTTCCATTGGTTCTCCAGGGTTCTCACACTCAGTTCTAGGAACAAATGTACAGGAAGATACAAAACAAAACACTGTGAGGAAACCCACACAAACATGTGGACAATATGGAAAGTGATTATAATCTTGACTAATACATTGATGAAAATGCTTAAATATACCTTAAAATACCAGTAACAGTTTTAGAACACACCATTGTACTTTATATCAACATGTGGGATGGATGGCTCTTTTATTTATTTATAAAGCACTTATTTTAAAATTACCTCTCTCTATATATAATTTCCACTAGAGAAATAAATATAAAGCATAAACACATATAAACACAGGATCACAGACATTGATTGCCTTAGAGACTCCACCAGTCTCCACAGAGTTGGGTAGGACTGCTTTCAAGTCCTTGGCTCCATATTTATGGAACAAACTGCAGACCAAACTCAAGTTAAACACTTACCCATGCCACTTACCCATTTTAGAAATTTAATGGAGAATCATTATGATGTTGTTTGCATTTGTTTCTCTTGAATTTAACTTCTTGGTTCTAAGTACTTTTTATATCTTCACTTAATTGTGCATCTACTGTACATGTTAACTTGTGTACACAGGGCAAAGCCTAAAAAGATACTCTGGTCTCAGTCTGGTCTTCTCTGTATGTATCATTTTGACAAACTCAACACAGGTGAATATACTAACAAAACAAATGCTTTGCTCCAGCCGGCTAATTTGATTGGTCCGTAGATATCTCCGAGCTCTCGTCCTATCTCGCGATACTGAAGATCCTTCCCAGTGAGACGCTGATCCTGCACTGTGCTCAGTCGCTGTTGTGGCTGGGAGGCAGCACAACCAGCCGCCTTGGTTGAACCGTGATTCAGCCTGAGGTAAAACAGGAGGAGTCTTTTAAACTGACCGACCTACCGAAAACAACTACTACTGGTGTCCCCACGAACAAACTTCGCACGACACCTTTAATCCTGCAGGTAAGGTTGCTAACGTTTCGTCTTGTTGGCTTCCCCGCTGTCCAGACACTCATATGCAGTGCTAGCTGATATTTTTACAGTTCAGTTTCACACCAGCAAAGCAACATTTAAATCCCACCAGTCTTCGTTTCCTCTTCTGTCACATCTTAGCCTCGTGAAATACTTTTATTGTTAAGTGTTTAATACAGCCTTTCACCTTGCCGGCTTGTGTTAACGGAACCAGAGGGGGATTGCAGGAACTTCAAAGCTCACTGTTGACTCTTTCTCTGGAATGCAAACCCCTGTTAGCTTGCATGCTAACGATACATCTGTTTAGTATAAAGTAGCTGTCGGCTGGCTCACTAGCTAGCTGGCTAGGTCGCCTGCCAGCTCAACACAAAAATATCAGCGTTTGTTCACATTATTGTGCTGTTGTAGGGGTTGTGTTGAGGTGGCTACGCGAGAAAGCCATAACATGTTTCTCTTGTGCGTGGACCAGAAACTAACAAACTTAACTTGTGGCACCGGTTAGCTAACGTTCAGTCATCTTTGGTTTTCAAGGCAGTTTTGCTGTTGGTTTCCAGTAAATATGTGTTTTCACAACATAATTGTTACTTTTAATTGCTGGTTTACTCTGGGACTCCTCAGTGTCTAATGGATAGTGTCTCTTTCTCATGTTCCGGCACTTATCCACCCTCATTCACTAACAAGCAGACTGAAGGTAAAAGACCACTTATGTGTCAACACACTATCCTTGAACTGTCTAGCCATAGCAGTCATTTACAGTCTAATCCCGTTATTTAGTGGTGACTACACAGCTGTTAACTGTGCCCATTGTTAAGGATCTACTTTGTTCACTTTAGGTTATTTTTAGGAGACTGGCATTTAGTTATGTGCCAATATATCCCCCTAATTTTTTACAAAGAAGATAATATTCCTGCTGATAGACGTTTTTGTGCCCATGATACAAGGTAAACAAGAAAAGCATATACTTAGTTCAAATGTACTAGGCTTGTATGCACATAACGTTACATAGTAAAATAAAATGTACATATATACCAAAATAAAATAAAATACAAGGGGGAAAAATATAGAAATAAAAATGCAATGGACAACTGAGAGAGCAATGCATTAATTAAAGCGTGGGTTACCAGTTACAATGTTTGAATGAAGAGGCTAAATTGTTATGCGCTGTGTCTGTTAAGGTAGAAAATATAAATGCTGTCTATTTACTATTAAGTATCTTTAGATCCTGCCCCTATACAAATTGTTTTATTTATTAGTGGTTATCCAATAAAACATTAAGACTTAAGTTAATTGCCATGTTTAATCTTTATAAATACTAAAGTGAAATGAATCAGAACAAGAATACAGTGTGCCATAGATAAGAAGCAACCAACATTCTTGCATATCGAAAATGGTATGACAATCCTCCCTACTTCTCCCCAGAGATGGACTCCTTAACTGTGAGTGATCAATTTTCATCAACAGTCTTCACCTGCTGCCATTATCTTGTAAGTAGGGATGGGTATCATTAGGATTTCATCGACACTACTACTCTTATTGATACTCTTATTGTTTCTTTTTCATTAATGAATAATTGATATTAAATATATATATATATTTTAAAAAAGAATGAGAATTACAGTTGAATATTTAAATATAACCACATGTTGTTTATACGGCAGCAACAGTAACATTTACAAGAGCAAAGCCAATATATAAACTCAATCATTTCTCAATGGAAACAAATCTAAAATGTCAATAAAATAAATCATGAAAATACTGAGTGATGTTTAGAAAGAAAGAAGAACACAGACTTCAGTTAGTATTAGTCCTCCCTCCTGTCCTCCGTTTTTCTTTCTGCTGCTGATGTGATACACTGACTGCCGGTACTGCTGGTAGCGAGAGGAGGGCTGGTTTGTCTCAGCCAGCAGCTAAGTTTACAAGAATTTGCCAAGACTGCATTTTGTGTCACGTCTTTCTTTTTAACAATTTGCCATTAGCCGAGCTAGCGCACTGTGCTCGCTCAAGGCTGCAGATAGGCAGACTGAAATATTGCTGTCTACATGCTTGTGCTTGTTGAACAGGTGTATTGGTATTTTACTCGTGATGGATTTTTATTGCACGTACTTGCCGTAACGAGTAGGGGCGGGAATCTCTGGGCCCCCCACGATTCGATTAGGATTCAGAGGGCTGCGATTCGATTATAGAACGATTATCGATACATCTAGATGCATCACTTTTTTTCTAAACAGGGTTTTTTTCTCTCACTGTGGGACAACTTGGTACTTTCAAAGACTCACAACATTTCTCATGATCCATATTAAATTTACTTCCAATATCCTTTATTAACAAAAATAACGGAAGTGACAGCCAACTGGAAGGTTACATTTGCCAGCATATATCCCAGCATTGCAAAGGACCAACAGGAAACGGAAAGTGTGCTTGTAGCAGCATACTTAAATTGATACAGACTTCAGCACATTCTGAATCACTAACATATATTAATAGACTTCTTATCAACATCCTCCTGTTATGTGCACTATAATCCTTCAAAAAACCACAAACAATTTGCTTTATAAAAATCAAACAGCTTTTATACAAAAACAGAGAATTCTGTACCAGCTGACAGTAATGCTTATGGACTTCTGCATATTCTGAATAACATAAAATGCTGCCCTTATTCACAAATTAATAATAGGAGTCTAAGACCTAGAATCCCTCACACATAAACATTTTTTGTATACCGCAATCAAAAACAACTTTAATACAAAAAAGATCTTGGGCACTAATTGAACATCTACAGAGAGGACAGTCCAAATATTTTGTAAATGGCTGCATTAAAACACTCTGTGGAGGGGAGTAGAGCAAACCTACTTAAGACTCAGGGTTTACTTTCAGATCAGTTTACAACGGCAAAGCTAAACAATACAGAAAGCAGCTCATATACAAAAAGAAATAAGTCACAATTAAACCATGCCTATGTGTGGCAGTGCAAATGTGCTTAGCTAGTGAGCGCTAATGTGTAAGTTCTTGTGTAAGAACAGGAGCTGGTCTACATGGTCAGATGCAATTGTACTCTGCTGTGCAGTTACTATATCTCCTGCCGTAGAAAAGACACTATCCGCAGAGACACTGGTGCCGGGAATACACAAGTATCTCTTGGCCAACTTGGAAAACAGAGGAAACACCTCCTGGTTCTTACTCCACCAGTTGAGAGGGTCCTCAGAGCGAGAGAGAGTGATGGAGCACTACAGTACCTGGTCACTTCCTCCTTAGCTGTGGCATAGGCAGACATAGGCTGCTGCTGAACTCTAGCACCAGTAAAGGTCTGACCCAGCAAATTCTCTAACAGAGAAGAAGATGACCTTCTTTTGGAAGCAGGGTTTTGGTGTTGCTCCTCCTCAGTGCTCAGGGTGTCTTCTTCCCTCAATGTGTTGTGCTCTTGGTTTTCTTCCTCTTCTACTCTCACCTCTTGCTGTAGGCAAACATAATGAGAAAGACAGGTAAACACAAAAGCCTTAAATTTTACATCACAATGTCAGTATCTTTAATCCAAAACAGATTTGAACAAAATTACTAAGAAAACACAAATTTACTTGTTCTACTCAACATCCACAACCTTGAGTTATTATGTAATATTGTTATTTAGTCAACTGGATAATGTTAAATAATGTCTTAAGCCCAGAGGGACATTTTGCATGGAACAAAATAATAGAATTACCTCCATAGATGCAGCCTCAGCAATCACTCTTCCATACGTCTCCCCTCTCCTCCACAGAAAGGAAAGGCAGGGTCTTGAATTCTGTCCTGCTCGCTAGTGTATCTCTTGCTGAGGTCTCCACTGATGGCCTGCTTTATCCCGGACCATTGATGACTCTCCAATGCTGTGCTTAGTGTCCTGGATGAGTTGAGCTTGCAAAGGAGCAATCAAAGAGATGGTGGGGGTCCTCACCTCTGACATGAGAGTAGTTGCATCTTTCATTGGCTTTAGGGCCTTGATAATATCCTCTGCATTTGAGATGTCTGCTTCACTGAGAGTGCAGATGTCAGACTCTCCTCTCCTTACCTGAGGAGACAGTAAGGCAGCGCAGACTGCAGGCTGTTGCTCCAGAAACCTGTCAACCATCTCGTACGCACTGTTCCATCTGGTGCTCACGTCTGTTTTCAGCTAGTGTCTCGGCAGACCAAGTAGCTTCTGCTTCTCCTCAAGCTGGTGTTTTGCAGTGGTGCTGTGGTGAAAAACTGTAGTAATACGTCTCACACTCCCTAGTAGCCTTGACACAGTGGGCAACTTGAGCGGCTCGCTGAGAGGCCAGGTTTAGCATGTGGACATAGCACTTCACATGTAGGAATTTACCCAGCTCAGCAGCAACAACCATGTTGGATGCGTTATCAGTAACTAAAACTAAATGTTTCTTAGTGATATTCCATTCCTCTGCTACATTCTTTAACAGTTCAGCCATATTTGCACCAGTGCGGCTCTTATTAAATTCTCTGTTTTGGAGCACATGAGACACTAGCTGCCACTCATCTGTGATAAAATGCACAGTTACGGTGACATATGATTCTGGGCAATGGATGTCCACGCATCACATGTTAAAGCTATTCTACCCGCTTTCTTCAGTGATTCCATGACTTCGGTTTTGGTCTCATTGTAGAGTGTGGGGTTCGCTGTTTCAGTAAAATATTTTCGAGATGGGACGTTGTATCTCGGCTCCAACATGCGCAGCATAGCACAAAAGCCCTGGTTCTCAACGACTGAATATAGACGCAAATCTGTAATAGAGTTCGTAATTCGCTTCACTTTTTCCGAGTTCAGTGGATGCTTTGACAGCGCCTGCTCGATGGTCCTCTAGTTAACTGCAACTCCAACCGGGCGTTGGTTTCTCATATTTGTCGTGTTTCCAAAATATTTCTGTTTAGTTTGACACAATTTGCATATAGTGTAGGTCTTGTCCAGTTCATTTTTCCCTTCAACTTCATAGAAGCCAAAGTGCTTCCATATGCTTGATTTT